CCATCCTTTCGATTCGTAGCGGTATCATGATTTTTAAAAAATGATGTGTCAAAGAATTCAAATCTTATTTGAAGATCAATAACATTTAAGTAACACAGTAACAGGAAACAGTCGTGACTAATAAATGTCGATGTAGAAAAAGGGCGAAAAATTAAAACGCCGACTGTTTATGATAATGATCATGAATTATTTAAAAGCTAGAATATCGACATATAGTCGGTGGATGTAATGTATATGTGAAAATAGAGTACGTGGACAATATATTCAAACAATCTACGATCAAATAAATACAAAAAATATTGTGAAATAATGGAGCATCCACTAATTGTCTTGGAATGCTAATTAAATCAGAAAATATGAAGCGAACATCAGTGATCCTGCTTGACGGATTGATTAAAAATACAGCTTACCCCTATGGATATTGTAGTGTCGTCCTGGCTCGGGAATTTCACGATAACCGAAGCACCAGAAGCCTTTTCGGAATTGTTCATTGGCCGAATACGACAACATACTTTGATGCTGCACTCCGAACCGGAGTCTCCCATGTTTATGCGTCAGATAAACACTCCGTCAAAAATCCAACTTCGCCTCCACTGAAATCAGGCGGACGTATACATTCACAAGATGGCGGCCATATAGCTAAAAAGGTCTCCGCTGTTTTCGACGATGATCAGATCAAAAATTGCTTGAGTAATGCCGTCGATAATTTGTAAATAAAGAGCCAAAACCTTTATATATATCTACCTCGAGAATATAGTGAATCAGAATAAAATAAATCAAAAATATTTAAAGGTATAAACGAATATGAAACGACAGCTCAATCCGACCGTCCCAAGATGAAACTGTGCATTCTGGGATCGCAGCCAACACAAAATGACGTCATCTGCTTCAAATTCTCGCATTTCACGAGACTATACTGTCTATGGTCACAAATATTATAATAGGGCAATTCAATCCCCGGAGTTCGCGTGATTTAATTCGTCTGGAGCGGAGCAATATTTGATTCGCATTCTTGGCAGTTATTTCATATTTTAGTCATTATTATTTCAGCGTAAACAAAGAAATGGCCTCCCATAGTCGCAGGCACAGTCTTCGGTCTTTGCTCAAAAGAACCAATTTAACTTTTCCTGGAATTGTATGTATATCGAGGATTAAATTGATAACAATTTCGGTTCAAAAGATACTAAAGTGAAAAAAAGCGCAACTGTTCTTCATTTATTCCTAATTACCTGAAATTAGTAACCTACATAATTTATTGTTTTTGTTATTGTTTTTGTTAAATTCTATTGGTTTGACAGTTAAATGCAGAATAAATTCTGCTAGGTGAACCTCAATTCGAAACAAACATTGAATGACATTGCTAGATGTAAAAACGTTCAAAATTTAGCATTTGTTATTGACAATAAAAAAATCAAAATTAGACACACATCTACAGATATGGAAAATTTGTTTAATTTACTGACAAAATAAAAGCTTAATAGTAACTGTTGTAGTTGTAATACTTTCCAGTGAATGTTTCATTGTAATGTAAGTTATTTTAAATAAATAGTTAGTCTGGATATATAATACATATACATAATACGCAATAAAATGTAAATCGTATTCATGACGTGTTGCTAGGTTAGTATTCATATACAATGTATGACACAGAAGTATATATAGCCGTTGATATATATATATATATATGGTCTTTATTTACAAGTTTAAGGCCATCGGCCCATAAAAGTATAATACATAAATATTCTTAAATTACAAAAAATCAGCAATATCGCTCCTAAATTTCAATGTGTGATAAGCATAGGCTGCCAAACTTTTTAATAATATTGGTTTCTTGTGAAGTTAATAATTCTACAAATTTGTTCTATTAATTGGTGTATCAATTGATTTTGTTGTGCCTAAAGTCACCTGTACAGCCACATACAATTTTTATTCCTGGAGACAGTAACTTGAAATTGGGGATTCTATTTTGACTCAGGATCCCACACAATCATCCTTGTTAGTACACTAGTTGTTGTTGCAGTTAATATACAAAATACATGTAAAACATAATAACTTCTTGGTATGAAGCTTATCCGTATCTCACTTTATTAATGTATTATAATAATAGTATTTACTGATCAGAAAATGGCTTTGTCAGAGTATTATATATTAAGGTAGAAGACAACTCATAATGTTTGAAAAAAATGGTCATACATTGCATGACAATGTTCATTGGTTTATTTATGTAAAATGTCCCACGGCACCGTGAAATAGCATTCTTTTGTTTGTTACTGTGACATATTTTGAGAAACTTATCCTAATATTTTCCTAAAATTGCTATTTTTGAAACAATTCCATGGAACACAATGTTACAAAAATTGCATTTTTTTGGCACTTTTAATACCCTGATTTTTGAAATAATCGAGGACAACAAAAAGTACTCCATCATTCACAATATATGATTTGTTCGGCTTATGTCACGTGATTACATTTTGAGATATGGAATAATATCTCTGCCATAGGAACCAATGATAATTTTTTTATAATACTGTCAAAATGACCACTATCCACTAACATTCAACCATCATTTTCTTGAAAATTAACCTGAAGACCCACAACTTTTCAAACTTAATATTCTCATATTTCCCGGAAGTCCAATTTATTTGAAAATGACTAAATTCTAGGTATTTTTATTTATGATTAGACTTGTACTTTAATGTGTATGCATTTCTATAGCGTGTAGAAGTTTGGTGTGTAGAAATTGAATACACGTGTTTCCTGTTTATTGTATGTTAGTAATTCATTGAGATACATGATGAATGAACTCAGTGTATGTGTGTGTGTGTGTGTGGGAGGGGAGTGAGTCGTTACTGTCTTAACTATACAAATTTAGACAATGTGTGTTACCACACAAATCATCTGTCTTATGAGAAAACAAGCCTGTCCGTGCTGTCCTGCTATAAATTAACCAGGTCCGGTACAACACAGTCACCTGCTGACATATGATGTAAGGATCCTCCAAAGTTGCATACCTGTTAGTGGGATAATGATTATACTCAGCCCCCCCCCCCCAATCGACTCTGGGACTATGGTTTATTCGCCTGTCGTAATCCGCCTGGGCCAAGTACAACCAGTCGTTTTATGGTGTTCCAATGGGGGGGGGGGTTACTCTCAAGCTTACCGACTGTCAAACTAGTGGGAATTGATAATGTTGAACTTCCTCATTCTCATGTTACCATCCCGACTACCAATATGCGTGTTTTCGTCGAAGTGTGCCTTCAACAGTGAACAAACATGACCGGGTTTTATGCCTGGTTTTGTACATTTTTATGACAAATATACACGTCTAACTCGTCCAAAAATATAGCCTACCAAACGTAATCGAAAATAACGGGAACCATGATACTAGTTGCGATCAAATCAAGTAAAATTGCACTATCTAGACTGGAAAAATCGGCACCTAACATACATTAGATGAGTTCGAACCACATATGATTTCGGGGTTTGTCGATGCTACAACCGACATAATGGGTTTCACGCATTTTCTGATGTTGATTTCAGATAGTGTGTCTTCCTGTTTGAATATGTAAGTTTCATTAGTGTTCCAACTGTTTGTCATTTAACAGTTTTAGAGTGTTTGATGGTAATAAATAATTTGTATGTTTCTATGGTAACCGTTGTGTCAGTTCTTTATTTGCACAGCCGTGTTCCCTATATTATGATGGTAAAGTTATTTTAGCTGCGTTTTTTTTTGTAAAATACAGATAACTATCAAATGTCCAATCTAATGTTGAGAGATACTGAGTGTACGAAGAATGTGTTTTGTATTATAGTTGGCATAGACAGTGTTGTTAACTTTAAACATTAATAATATTTTCTAAATTGAATTTCATTAAATACATGAATTTTATTTATATAAAATACCTTTAAATGTTTTATAAATTTCAAATTTCAAACTTGAGCAATCACAATACATTAGCAGATGCATATTAAAAACATTCATGTCTTTATGAAATTCACAGTATATTGTGAGATTTGTTAAATATGCATGAATATCATGAATTCTTTCATTTGAAGGAATGTTCTCTTTCTGCTTTATTTTTTCCCGTAAGCACCTTCTCAAACTATGATACGTTTATTCGGAGTTCGAGAAACTTTTTGATTCGATGGTCTGCAAGGTGTATCGTTACTACTCTGTATTCAAGGCATCGCCAAGGTATCTGTAACTTGTTTTTTTTTAAATAGTTTCTTAGTGGTATCGTGACAAGGTTTGATAATTATCATTGGTTTTGGTAATTTTTTTGGGGGCATAAGTGTTTTTTGCAGCTCGGCATTAGTTTCAGACATCAATATAATATATAGTCACGGTCGGTCTGGTGTTTCGTTGTTATTTGGTGTTTGTACACCAATATTGCTTAGTTGATCATTGATGTATATTATGAACTCAAGACCTATATTTAGTAGAAATACTGAACAAAGAAACTAATTGCAGAAAAAAAATGGTAAAACTTCCTGCTAAAACGTGGTTGAATAATTTCACGATGGCATTGTGTTTCGCCAACTCAGTCTGTCCAACAAAACGTGTTGTAAGTTCCTAATATGATTTTAATGATTTTATACGTATTCTGTAAACTTTCTGTTAGTGAAAGTCACTTCTTTGCAGAGTAAATCGTAGGCGAGCTATTACAGATTGGGAAAAGTACAAAAAATAAATAAAATAACGACCTGTGTTGGATTCGATAACACAAACTCACTGGCAGCTAAACCATGCACCACAGTAGCTGCATGTGAACTTGCAACTCTACAACGTTTCAATGATAACCCTAGCAAAAATATCAATAGTTGTTTTTTTTTACCTTTTTGTACTGAGCTTGTGCGTATCTACTGCAATTCTTTCAGAGATACGAAACTATAATCGTTATGGTTTTGTTAAATGTGGTGTGATACCTTCAACTTACAATGAAACAGCGACCTCTAGAGAAGGGAATCAAAACAATACCGATCACATGACACGTCACTGACAGACAAAATGGCGGACCCGAAGTATGCTGATTTGCCAGGGATCGTAAGTGAAACAGATATTCAGTAATTGATCGGTGGACATATTTGTGTAAAAAACCGAAATAGCGAAACTGTGAATTTTGTTTGATTAACATCAGTAGATCACCACTGAACTCTATTGTTTTATGGGGCGTGTCCGGGTCGCCACTTTTATGCTAGTATTATTAATTATTGACACTATGCTCTTCATTGACACTCTAATATTGTTTTATTATAAGAATTACTTTCAACACAGTACCGAGTAACCATAACAAATTGTTGAAATATTCTCTATTTTATCAAGATTCTATGGTGAATCATTATCGATTTTACATTTTACATAAATTGGTACCCCCATCATAATTATTTTTCAATATTTAACAAAATAGTTTTCAAAATTGTTTTAAATTCAATTCACATCTCACATCACGTTCCCCCCATATTTCCCCCTACATTGTTGCATTTGTTTTATTTTTAGAAACTGTTTATTTCTTGGCATCTTCTATTGTATTTTGATGTCTGTATGTGTGATGTTCCCCAATTTAGGCAATTAAAAACGGGCATGGTTACCTCCGTAAGTCTATTGTTATACACAAGCAGATCATTACCACAGATCAATCCTGTATGCATCACTGTAAGAAGGGTGACATTTTGTAGCCCTTCTAATACTATAGTATTTGCGACAACTACTGTATTTTGAATTAAGAAAACCAAACTCGAACATTTAACAGCAATTATGTTCATATGAGGATAATGCTGTGAGAAGCAACTGCATTATTTATGTTGTGTCTTTGGAAGATCATCTTTGAGCATGAATGTGGTGTTCTCATAAAAAGGAAGCTTTCAATCTCTAAGATTGCACCAAGGAATCATGGGACACAGTTGTTTTGTATTGCTAATTTTAATCCATTAAGTAAATTAGCTGTGATATTAGGCTTAACTGGAGCTGCCACTGAAGCTAGGGCATGATGTTCATGTGTATTATCATTACATCCTGTAATATCATCGCTTTTGATTTCATTCTAAACTTGACTTTTGACATTGACTGTTGTCAGGACACATCGCAACCAGACGTATTTGAGACGAGTGATTTGCCTGAAGAGGATCAAGATTACAAACCTGTAAGTTTGTCCATTGAAGTGCATCTGATATTTATTATAATTCTGATGAAAAGTACAGACATTGAGAATAATAATTTTAATAATGATATTTTGATAAATATGATTGTAGCTAGTCATTGTGTGCCCAGCTGTCTCATTATTATATTATTGAATCATGGAAATCAAATATCCTGGGTGATATTGTGATAATTAATTAATTGTTTGATATGTAAAATACTTGATTCCAGTGATTGTTGGTGAACTCCTGGGCTTCAACTGTGAAGGCAACACAGTGTCTGCTCAATATTGACTACTGGTAATTGACGCTGTAAAGCAAATATCTCGCAATAGACTTTTTTTTATTGCAGACTATTAGACTATTGTATTTTTTGTATGTGGTAACCAACCTTAGACAACTAATAGAGCAGACTTGCAACACTGTTTTTCATCTGATGTGTGCCAGTTATAATAAGACCACTTGCTTTGGGTGGAATGGTCACAGAAATGAGGAATGTGCCATACAAACACTGTCCAAGTCAAGATAAACACCCATCCTCCATACAAAAAGTTCTAAAATGTCTTTCAAAAGTAAAAATCAAAATAAATGTATTACATTAATTTATTATATATTCATACACGTTGAGTACAAGCATTAACTCATTCAAAGTGATATATCTTTCACAAATCTTGGTTTTCATTTCTACCAAGTTTTGGGATTTGCTATCGTTTTTTTTGACATATAGTCGTTATTTACAAAAGTACACAATGTATGCAAGCAATAGGTATTTTCAACGATTTTTGAGAGAGCAGGTGTGGCATATTGCATAATGTACCTCTGATAAACCAGATTAACACCTTAAGGATGCTGTACACCTTTTTTTGCTTTGAAACCCAAAATTCTACTTTTTTGTATTTTTCAATGCTGGACTACAAGGAGCAAACACTCAGTAGGAAAAAAAGTGAATTGGATGTTTTTATAGGGTGTAAAAAACAATTTTTGTTAATTAAAAACAAAAGCACATGTCATTGTTTTGAAAGCTATGTTTTAATTAATCAGCCAAAGACATAATAGACAGGTAATATGCATAATAGTCACCACCCATAGCAAATATAAACAGTCTCTTGCATTCAGTACAAGCTCAGACTAGTAATACAAGTATTAGTAGTCCGAGGTACAAGTTACATGCATTCCACTTACGATCGTCCACAAATTTCTCGCTCTTCAAGCAGTTGACTATGAAACCGTCTTGGGGTCGACTATGACAGTGACGAAAGAAAACGAATGCAAGGAAATTTGGAGAAGAACGTCGACAGTATGTAAAGCCATTATTATGAAAATTTAGTCGTGGAAGGTACCTTCCACGATTTAATTGATCAGACCATGGAGGTATAAACAGAGGTAGAAAATTTGAGCACATGGCAGACTTAGTTTTTGTGACCAAATTACGTGTCATGACTCCGACCACAATGAGTCGGAAGTGAAACACTTGGGCCTGGACTTGGCTACACCATGGCTACACGTAAAGCACGAGACAGCAGCTGTAAAAGCGTGTGTGTAGCATC